TCCAACATGGAGCATGCGACGATCGACGCCGAATCGCGCCATCATTTGGACACAGCAGCGACATTGCTGGGTGTTTCGCCCATGGAGCTCACACAAGCGCTTGTGACGCGCCACGTGACAACAACCAAGGACAAGATCATGGTCAAGCTGTCGCCTGGGCAGGCCAACGAGGCCAAGCAATCGCTGACGCAGAGTTTGTTTGGCGGGTTGTTCAAGTGGATCGTGGCGCGGCTGAGCAGTGTGATCCGGCACGATGCCGCCAGCGTCAACACGATCGGGATCCTCGACATTTTTGGGTTTGAAAATTTGGTCTCTAACGGGTTTGAGCAGCTCTGCATCAACTACGCAAACGAACGGCTTCAAGCCCAGTTCAACGACCTCGTGTTTGCCAAGGAGCAGCGCATGTACGAGGCTGAGGGCATCGAGTGGAAGTACATCGAGTACCCGGACAACGCGCCGTGCTTGCAGCTCCTGGAAGATCGACCGATGGGCATGTGGTGCTTGCTCGACGAAGAAGGGATGCTGCCAAAAGGGTCCAACGAAGGCTGGATCACCAAGCTGTACAGCCAGTACCTCGATAGCTCCTTCGACAACACCTCGCCGCCTTCAACCACCGCCATGGGCAACCATCTCCATGGCCGGCGAAGGCAGTCGGAGCCGTTGCCACCAAAGCATCAGCTCTTTCACAAACCTTCCACCGTGGCAGCTGACATTCCCACGATCTCCGACACACCCCGACCGTTCCTCGCGACGAACGGCCAACGAGTCGATTTCCAGTTTATCATTAGCCACTTTGCCGGCAAAGTTTTGTATGAGAAGGACGCGTACCTGCAGAAGAACCAAGACACGTTGCCCGCGGAAGCTATTGACTTGTGCGGGTGGTCGACCTGTCCCATTGTGCGGTCTCTGCTGGCGGCGACTCCTGGCCAGTTGGAGAAATCCAAAAAGGCATCGCAACAGCAGTCGACCCATCGCCCGCTGGCTCGTCAGCCCAGCAACCTGCGATCGACGTCCGTGTCGGCGCAGTTCAGGTTTCAACTCGACGACTTGATTCAAGTCATCGGGTGCACACAAGCCCGGTTCATCCGATGCGTCAAGTCCAACGATGAAGGTGTCCCAGCCAAGTTGACGCCACCCCGAGTCCTCCAGCAACTCCGGTCGGGAGGAGTCTTGGAAGCGGTTCGAATAGCTCGCGCAGGGTATGCAGTCCGTGTCGACCACGACCGATTTCTCGACGCATTTGGGTTTTTTGGAAAGTGGTCAGCCGCGAGCAAGGTGAAGCAGGGCCCGTCGGCATTGTCACGGCTGCAGGCAAAGCCCAAGCCGCGTGCCGCGTTGTCACCAAGTGAGCTGAAAGCACAGGTCGAGACGACGGCGGCGTCAATGCTGATCCACTACCACAAAGGCGCTCCTTCGTTGATCTCGGCCGAAGTTCTCGCTGTGGCCATCCAAGTTGTCCACGCTGGCAAAGTCCTCGATCGCGACGTGTTCCAAGCCACCTGCGGTACGGTCGGATTTCAAATTGGCCGGTCCAAGGTCTTTTTTCGAAAGGACGTGTACAACGCCCTGCGGCGCTTCCGCGTCATGACACAGTGTCTCCATGCGACATGCATACAACGCCTCGTGCGCGGCCTATTCGCCCGGCGACTCGTCGCGACGATGCACCGAGCGCTTGCGAGGCTGCAAACGTGGACTCGGGAGAGGCTAGCCTATCGAGCCAGGCGAATCGCTGGCGCCATTGTGTTGCAGACGTGGTGGCGTGGAGTTTTGGCCCAGACGCGGTACACTCGTCAAAGGAGAGCGATCCCAAGGCTACAACGCTGGCTGCGGTCCCGTCAATGGAGACGGGTACTGGCGCAGCGTATCCTCGCCAAGCAAAAATCCGCTCCAAAGTTCCCGCCGAAGGAGCCACCGCCTATGGTCAAGTCGAAACCACACGTTCCGATCACAGTTGTACAGGTTGCCGCGGAAAAAAGCGTGGTCGTCCCCACCCCGCCTCCACCTCTCTCGCCCGTCAAGATGGTTGCCACGGCTCCGCTGCCCAGACCGCACGAGGTGTCGTTGGATGCTTCCGAGATCCCGCAGCAACTTCCGCGCCGCGAGGTGGACGCGTTGATGGTTTCTTTGTCGGTTGAAAATGCCCACCTCAAGCAGGAAGTGATTCAATTGCGACGGCAACAGCAGACCGTGACCTCGCCCGTGGTGGCCGAGACACCACCGATGGACCCGTCGCTCGAGTTTGCCATTTCACACATTCGTACGCTCGCGACGCAGCTCGTCGAACTGCAGCTGCAATGCGCACTCATGCAAAACGCAGACCACCACCCATCCGTCGAGACGCCCCACAACGCACTCCAGGCCAATGCCACGCCGCCACACAACCCTGCCAACTCACAATGGACACTCGACCTCGTTCTGCCGCCGCCGCCCGTCAACCTCACCGAGGCACACGTGCAGCTGCAAACGCTCGTGGGAAAGATCCAAGTTGCGGCACAGTCGCTGGACCAGTTGGAGCGCCAAAAGCGGCATCAGATGAAAATTCGCGCAACCGAAGCCCAGGCGATGGCGGTCGTACAGACGCTGCAACCGGTGGTCGCCACCGTGCGCAACGTTGTCTCGTACGTACCCGTTGTGTCTTATGTGGTGTCCCAAGTGGAGACAAGGGTCCACGTGTCTCCAAAAACGTGGTGCCTTTTGCTGCAAACATCGCAGTCGATTGTGGACACAGTGACGTCGTTGGCGGCGTCGCTCTTGTCTCGTGGCGACGCCCGTCGTCCGCCGCCATCTCCGTTGAAAGAGCTCCACTCGGACGCGTTGGTCCCGCCGCATCTCAAGCACCAACTTGACGAAATGATGGAAACCAACTTGAACCAAGCGATGCAGATCAAGCAACTCACGGCCACTGTCCACGACCTTCGGGCCAAGCATCATGCCCTCCAACTCAAGATGCTCGAGGACCAAGTTGCCGCGCTTCACGTGGCCAAAGGCCAAGACAACGAGAAACTCAAGCGCATGGAAGACGACTTAGCGTACACGACGGCGTGTGTGGCCCAGCTCGCCAACACGATGCTGGCTCGAGGGGTTGCAAAGGACAAATCGCAGGTCGTCGCGGCGTTCGATGCGCGGCCAGACTTGCCGGGTCACTTTCGACGATAGCACGGTCCTTCCCATTCCGAAGACCACGAACTTTCCACACAACCCTCTCATGTAGTCGAGTGGGCACGCCATCATAGGCAGAGTGCTGCCAACACTTCCTTTGAATGCACTGTCCGGTGATGCTGTCAAATAAGATCAATCATCCGGATACTTGAAGTGAAATTGGCTGTTAGAGTTTGTCCTGTGTCCGGATAATTGGGTCATCGCTGCCGTGTTTTTGTTGATGGTCGTGGTTGGTGGCGCCGGAATTCTTGCGCAATGACGACGGCAGGTGTGGATCGCATGGTGGCGGCCTGGCGGGGTATGGCCACCGTTTGCAACCTCTCGTATCGAACTGAGATGGTTGACGGTGTCCCTGGCGCATTCGTTCTCAAGAGTGTGCTCTCGTTGAATGAGTGCGCCGACCTCCAAGACGCCGTTCGATTGTTGCACGACGAAAAGGCAGCAGTCCTCCATGATGAGAAGAAACCACGGCGTCCGTCGCAGCACCACATCCCAACGCAGATGGATCCATTTGTACTTGCAGAGATCATGCGTCGCCTGCATCCTCACATGCCCACGCACGCTGGACCATCTAACCGAGCGCCCCTCGCGACGGACACACCGTTTCTGTCGCCGTTTCTGCGGTCGTACTACTACCACGAATCCGACTTTTCCATGCCGCACTACGACAAGAGCTTCACGCACCACGAGGGCGTGCGCGGACGCATCTTGAATTTCTCCGCGTACTCGATTCTCTTTTACCTCAACGATGGGTTTGAAGGAGGCCACACCACGTTTTTCACTGATAAATCCACTGCCACGATTGCGGCGCGCGTTGCACCATGTGCTGGTGATGTCCTTGTGTTCCCCCATGGAAGCTTTCCTGGCTGCTTTCCCAACCCGTTCCACGAAGGGTCGACGGTCACTTGCGGGGAAAAGCTCTTGATTCGGACGGACTTGGTGTTTTCTACTATGAACCAGCGGCCAAAGTTAGTCCCAAGTGACATGACGGCTGCCCAGAGCAACCCTGCGCGATTGTCGCAGCTTGTCCAAGAAGGACGAGTGAAGAGTTTGGGGCCAGGGCTGGACGAATGCCGGTGCGGTGATTTGGAGGGGCTGCAGACGCAAGTTGCAGCGGGGTGGAATTGCCACACGAGCCGTGACCGTCATGGCTCATCCGGGCTTCTCTGGGCCGCTGGAGGTACATTCCTGTGGCATTCAAACGATTTTTCATTCCTATTTGTAGGGGGGCACTTGGCGATTGTCCAGTATTTGATTGAATCCCTTGGCATGCGACCTGTTGATGATGTGCAAGCACATCGACGAGGTTACGACGGCCGTTCGGCGCTGCATTGGGCTGCTCGAAATGGCCACAACGACGTCGTCGAGTACCTCGTAGTTCACGGCGGCCAGTCCGCGAATACACCAGCAGGAGATGGAACTACTCCGTTCCACCTGGCAGTCTGGCAAAACCACCAAAGCACGTGTGCCCTGCTCGTGCAACTAGGTGCGGATCCGCATGCGGTCAATCGTCACGGGTGCAATGCGTGCATGTGGGCCTCCCAATCCAGCGCTGGCAATATCACCATGCTGGAGTACTTGTGCGGTCTGCAACTCGATTTCGAACGCATCAATTCGAATGGTCAGGGGTGTCTGCACAAAGCCGCTCAGCGATGCAACTGGGACGTGTGTCGGTGGCTATGCCAACGCTTGACCGCCCCGGCGCACTTCGAACCAAACAAAGAAGAACTGAACGTTCCGTCTCGATTGGCAGCCATTTCTGGAGACGACAAGTTGGCTGCATTCTTGCGAGCCGAAGAAGTGGCCTTCTGGCAGCGACAATCATTGGCTGCGTAGATGACAACGCTTGAATAAAATCAATCGTTCCCTGCGACTACAGTACACTTTCATTCTTGCGAAATGGTTGAGTTATGACCGAGGGAGTATGTTTCACAGACTCATGTGTCTCAAATGTCTATGGAATTGCAGACCCATTGTCGCCTTCTCTTGAAGGGACAAATTCAGAGATTTCCTGCGACCGCAGCTTGTCGCTACGGTGGACGTCATTCACTCCATCAACACCTTGGAGCGGTGCATCCTTCGTGCCCCTTTGATGAAGAGCACGCGGCGATAGAATTCCTGGTATTTGATGTGGTTGACGGGTTGTCCATTGAAGTGCAGGAATCGCCGCGCACGCGCCACGAATGGCGCTCTCTGTTCCAACCATCGCCAAGCAAGCCTGTCCGATCCAGTTCATGATGGACGCAAAGTCATTGGTGAAGGCATTTCTGTGCAGTTCGAGTG